GGCACTATTTGACACTGTTTTGCACTGTTTTGATGTAGATAATTTTCCAATTAAGGAAATGAGAAGAAGTGTGAAATTTATTTTGGACCTACCCAAAAAGGAAAGTGTGAATTTTATTTGGGACCGGAGGGAGTATAAGATAACAATATAAGAAAGATAAAAGATAAAAAATTAAAGAGCATAAATACGATAGAAAATAAGAATAACATAAGAATATAAAAAGATAAAGAAGATAAACAATAAAAGAAAAAAAAAGAGGAAAGGTAGAAAATGCAGTAATCGTCCACATATGTACGCTCTCCACTTTGCTTTCTCCAAAGCTATACTCTAATACAATTCTATATTTTAATTCATATCATGTGATATGACTATATGATACTGTTGTACCACATCACCCTCCTCTTTTATCCTGCCTGGGGGACATACATCATACAAAAAAAGTGATCTCTATAAAATTTAACTGATAAATTAAAGGAAAAATAGGTAATATTAATCCCAACTATACCCGGTCCGCTTTTAATAATCCTTAATATAGATTATTTCCCTATAGTCCCAACTTTGGGCCCCATTTTCTTAAAACACTCCGCTACACCGAAGACCAGTAGTATCAGTAAATTAAAGTGTTAAACATCCTAACAGCCATGTCATTACTCCATTCGCATACCAAACATATTTGCTCCTCTCCCTACCATCACAGCCGTAGAACATGAACTTGGAGGAATCGTTGGCACCTTGACTGTGTTGCACCGTCGTCGTAGTCGCCGGTAAGTAGGTGAAGAAATCAGAATAACTCCAGTTACCCAGACTGTCTTGTGCACGGTTCTCACAGTCCAAGGTAAAGACCTGAACTTTTATGTTGATTCATGAAATGTCAGTGTTATTTAGGGTTATATCAGTGTGTTGAATTTTTATGTTGAGTAGTGAACTGCATATCATGTTTTTAGGTACGAATTGAGATGGATAGTTCAACTGTCATTACAATTAAGATGTGGCATGGAGGTATCTTTAAGAATAACAATCTGAAAAAGTTGGAGTACGTAGATGGTGAATACAAATGTTTTGAAATTGATGCTGATGAGTTGTGCTGGTTTTGGTTAGAAGAGTTAGCTGGTAGATGTGGAAAATACAGCAGTATTGATGACATTTATTACTTGATTCCTGGTCAAAGTCTGCAGAACGGTTTGAGAAGAGTTAAGCTTGATGATGAGGTCAGGGAAATGTACAAAGTAGCTATGAAATATAAGATCATTGACTGCTATATAAGACATGGACTAAGCTCACCATACTTGGTGCTACAACTTGAAGGTGGTGGGGAAAATGAAGGGGGGGCTACTGAAAAAGGGGTTAGTGATGGGGTAAAAGGGAGTTCAAGAAGTTCAGCTGCTGTGAGTGGAACTGAACCAATTACAAGGAAGGCACCACAAACCTCTGGTTCACAAGCACAAACTTCAAATAGTAAAGATGCACCACAGGATGAAGAAGATCATGATGAGGAAGAACATGATGAAGGTGCAGCCTTTTCAGATTATCTGGGAGAAGAAGATGGTGAGGAGTTAGAGGTTCCACTTTTTGGATCTGATGAGGACACCAGTGATGAGGAATTTAGAGAGTCAAGAAGAAGAGTGAATGGTTAGAATTCTAAGATTGTGAAGATAGCCAAAGAACTTCAAAAAGAAGCAGGTGAGGGAAATGTAGGTGAAAAAAGTACCCCTTCAAACACAGTACATGAAGAAGATGGCATTCTTAAGAGTCAATGTGTTAGTGACTATGAGGAATCAAGTGATGACATTCACACACCTGTTGAGAGTGATGGAGATGACACTGTTTCAAGAACCAAGAGAGGTAGAGTGGCTTTAGTGGATGAAAATACAGACTTTAAATTGCTGACCTGGAAGGTTGGAATGAAATTTGAAAATAGGGACAAGTTTAAAGATGTTGTTGCTAGATTTGCCATTGCCCAAGGAAGAAATTTGAAGATACATGTAAGCCATAAGGAAAGGCAACAGAGAATAGGTGCAAAATGTGTGGAAGGCTGTCCATTTAGGTTGTATGCTAGTTGGGGCAGTAGGAGGGCATGCTTTGTTGTAAAAAGTGTGATTGGAGAGCACACTTGTAACAGAAATATGAAAAAAAAATAGACAACTGAAGGCACCCTGGGTAGCAACACAATTCTTGGAAGTTTTTAAGTCCAGACCTCATTGGCCTGCAAAGGAAATCATGGAAACAATTAGGAGAGCTTACGAAGTTCTTGTGAAGAGGGACTTTGTATACAAGGTGAAGTATCATGCTCACAGAAAACTTCATGGTAGTATGACAGAACACTACAATAAGCTTGGTAGGTATTTGGAAGCTCTTAGTAATGCTAACCACCACAGCCATTTCAAGTTGTTCACTGACCCTACTATAAAAAGCTTCCCTCCTACATTTCAGAGGTTCTTTGTGTGCTTCAAAGGGTTAAAAGATGGATGGTTGAGTGGAGGTAGATATGTTCTGTGTATAGATGGATGTTTCATCAAAACATTCTTAGGTGGGATGCTTTTGTCTGCCATAGGAAGAGATTCAAATGACCAAATGTTTCCAGTAGCTTGGACAGTACTGGAAGGGGAGAACAACTCAAGCTGGGAATGGTTCTTAGGTGAACTGAAGAAGAATGTAGACACTCTAGCTGGTGCTGATCTCACATTCATTTCAGATGAACACCAGGTCATTTGATGAAACTGTTTTATATCCATCTATTTTGTTCTTAGCTCTTATTTGTTTTTGTAACTGTTTATGTCTTATTTGGCAGTCCATATTGAGGGGGGTGGCTAAAGAATTCCCTTTGGCTGAGCATAGGCACTGTGTCAGACATGTATTTGCACACTGGCATAAAAATCACAAGGGTGATGAGATGAAAATGCTCTTTTGGAAAGCTGCAAAAGCATACAATGAAGCTGATTTGGAAGAAGCTTTGGAAGAAATGAAAAGGGTTAACCCGGCTGCAGTGAGTTCATTTAGATCATTGAACCCATCATGTTTTTGTAGAGCATTTGTTAGAATAAACACTAAATGTGATGTCATTGTTAGTAATATGGCAGAAACATTTAATGGTTATATAATAAATGTTAGAGCAAAACATATAATTTTCATGCTTGAGGATATTAGGGGTGCTTTAATGCAAAGGATAGTTCTTAAAAGACAGCAGATGGGAAAAAATACTGGTATGTTGTGTCCTAGAATTAAGGCCAGGCTTGAGAAAGAAAAAGATGAGGCTGCCAATTGTACCCCTTTACCATCTAGCCAGGTTTTATTCCAAGTGTGCCACAGATTAGATTGTTTGACAGTAAATTTAGAGGCTAGAACCTGCACTTGTAGGAAGTGGGACTTGAGTGGAATACCATGTTGTCATGCCATTTCTTGCATTTTCTTCATGAATGAGACTCCTGAGAACTATGTGCATACCTGCTACACCAAGGACACTTATCTGAAAATGTACTCAGGGGGTATTGCACCCCTAACTGGAGAGAGACATTGGTCCAAGGTTGATATGCCAATAGACCCTCCACCTATTAAGATTGGGCCAGGTAGACCTAGGAAAAATAGAATGAAGTCTCCCCATGAAAACCCTAAGAAGCCAGGAAAATTAACAAAACATGGTGTTGAGATGTCCTGTAGTGTGTGCAAGTCCAAAGATCATAACAAGAGAAAATGCTCGGATAAAAACAAGGAAGCTCAACCTGTACAAAAGAAAAGCAGGGACAGGCCCAAGAAAGCTATCCAAAATGCAGAATCACAACAAAGCACTTATCAAACCACTGCACAACCTTCAAGAATAGGGAGAGGAGGAAGACTTATTCAAGCAAGAGGAGGAAGTAACACAACAAGAGGGAGAGGGAGATTTGGAAGAGGCAGAGGTAAGGGTCAAATTCCTGTAGGCTTTGGAGTCCTTGTTGATGGAGAAGGCAACACTTGGACTAATGTAAGTATTTTTTAGCTTTTGTAACTCATTATTGCATTACTTTTATGAGTTATTATTCTGATAATGTTATTATATTTTTTGTGTTTACACCCTCCCGGCCAAGCTGGTCCAAGTAATCTATCAGAGCCTTCAGTTGGTCCTTCATTTCCTTAGATTGTTGTCCAAAGTTGCAGTCCAAAGTTGCAGAGAAGAAGTTGATGTTTAGTATTGTTATTATGTAATAAGTTGCAGAGAAGAACTTGATGTTTTGTGATTCTAGACTTTGTTGTATTTCAAAGCTTTGTAATGACTTAACTTGGTGTGTTTGTTAGACCTTTTTTATCAACTTGCTTGAAGAGTTGGTAGTATTTGGAACCTTTGTAATGTTCAATATTTTGAACTTTTATGTAAACAGACTTCTAAGTCTGTGGGTTGTTCATGTTCAATGATATGTGGTTTGTTCCCAGATATATGGTTCTCATATTTACTTCCAAGTTAGTTTGAAACCAGATGTTGTTTCCCAAAAGTTCATTATTGTGAACTTATCAAAACATACTTCTAAGTCTCATTTTTACTTCCAAGTTCGGAACCACAATTTGCATGTACATTAAGATATGGTTATTGTACAAACAATTCATGTCAAACAATTCATGTCAAAACAATAACACATTTTCATTACATAAACATTACACCAGAACAAAACCAAATGCATCAAAACAACCACTACACATTACAATGCAACAAAGTTATCCGAGAAAACTCTAATCCCTCTCAGAAGTATTATCCAATGACCAATCCATCAAAACATCCGCTACACATTACATCACAATACAGCTAATACACATATCTAGAACTCTCAAAACATCCACACCCCCAAATTACTTATAGTATAACACAATGCAAAACGAGATCCAACAGGCAACAACAACAATGAATGTCATTTTTTGGGACTTCAAATTTTTGCTAATGAGTAGCTGCATTTTCTGATTTTTAGCTTCCACCATCTTTTTCTTCAATTTCAACCTAACAATCTTCTCCTCTAATGCTTTTTGTCCTTCATTTCTGTTGCTAAAAAGATGCTCCAACAACATTTCCTTATCATTTATGTTGTCTTCTTTGCAAGGACGATTTCCTTCATCAACCCATTGAAAATAATGACAATCTTCTTTCTAGCAATCAACAAAATAACTCATCAATTAATTCACAAAATAAGTTACGGAAGTTCTGATTAGCGGGTAAAAGAGAGATTCTTAGGAGTACTAAATAACTTACAGGCCATAATGCACACCCATTAAATTGTCTCCTAGTATTTGGCCCGTTTTTCACCATTCTAGGTCCACAAAATAGTCTGTGGTAGCACTGATTTGAAAAACCAGTGCTTTCGGTCCTTCTACCCCATGAAGATGATCCATAAATCGAACTCATTTCGCCGTCGTATCCCGTTGGTTGATTTCTTGGGTCACGGTTGAAAAGAGGAGAGGAAGAAGAGTTCACCGTTCTATTTTCTTGACTCTGTACTCCTTTCATTTCGGTGGACGACGAAGAAGCTAAGAGGGATGAGTTTAATCGGTGGACGACGAAGAAGATAAGAGGGATGCGTTGCACGTGTTTACTTAGCCGGTTATAACTAATTTTAACCGGTCGCGGAGTGTTTTAAGAAAATGGGGCCCAAAGTTGGGACTATAGGGAAATAATCTATATTAAGAATTATTAAAAGCGGACCGTGTATAATTGAGATTAATATTACCTATTTTTCCTAAATTAAAAATATAATCCATCAAACCGTTTTTTTTGTAAAACGTGAAATTCCAAATGCCGATTTGTCGAGAGGATCTACGGCGCAATCAACTACATAGTCAAACACGGCCTGCTCACTAGTCGTTGACGTCAAACAGCAACCGCGTAATTTCGTACCGAGTAAAAGCCGCCATCTTCAGTCTCCCCTTCGCCCGCCGCTGATTTAGACTGCCTTCCCAATTCACAGTTTCACACCACGGAATAAAGAGCGTATAAAGCGGACTACCCCACTCCATTAAAGCGTACCATCTTATTATGTTTTTGAGTTTTTTTAGCAACTGTTATTATAGCGGTCGTAACAAAAAAAGTAATAATAAAGTGCAAATGTATGATTGTGCTTAAGTAAGCAAAAAGTAAAAATATAATCCCTCCGTCTCTAATAAAGTAAAAACTGTGTGGTTGAGGTTTGTGCAGAGGAGATAGAATTAACTGGAATCACAAATTCTTTAATTAAAAGAGAAAGTGACAAAATTAGTGGGACATCAAAAAAAAGAAAGTTGACAAAGTTATAAGGGATGAAGAGAGTATAATAGTCATACAAAACTTTCAAAAAAGGGAAATGAGAATTATTTTTTGGGACGACCCAAAAAGAAAACTGTGAACTATTTTGTGAGACGAAGGGAGTATAGTATAGACGAAAAATGTGTGTATGATTAGAATGATGTTTTTGATTGAGGATTCGAGTGGCTTCACTCCCAAATTAGATATAATCGGATCATCTCACCGATTAGACCTAAACAGATTATACGTGATTAGAATTCATCAAATTATACTCCCTCCGTTCCTATTATAACTTTCAACTTTCCTTTTTCATCTGTTCCAATTAAAATTTCCATTTTTCATTTTTGGTAAAGAATTTGTGATTCACAACATTTCTTACACATTTCTCTCTCCTCTTAACAACTCTCCACCACACAATACTCACTATCTTAAATTGTGTGTCAAACCTATTTGGAAGTTATAATATGAACGGAGGTAGTACTAAAATTGTACAAATAATCAGTATAAAACACATACAATGGACAAACATTTACCTTATCAGATCAGATCAATTATACCAAACTAGACTTAAACATAACAATTTAAATCAGACTAGAGCAGACCAGATATTTCATTCTGATTAAAAACATATGAGAGAGTACATAACTAAAAACAAATTAAAGTAAGATAAAACATACTCGTTTTTCTTATAACTACAAGTATTACTATAATCAATACTCATTTTATGCTTTACTCGTTATAAAACATATTCTCTTGCTTTTCCTTTTTGGATCGTTTTAAATTTACTATCTTATTTTCTTATTCCAAAAAGAATCCCCATTTAAAGAAGTTACATACTATGTACGTAGTATATTTTAAGAAAGTGTTCCAAATAACTTTGTAAAGTGTAAAGGACACCCACAAACATATTCTAAACTATGTTAAAAATTACAATTATTTTGAAATTAAGGGATTGTAAGAGCACACTTTTTTAAATATACGTGTTTGGTCAAATATTTATTATTAATACTAGGAAATTATTAGGAGGAATTTGATTTTACACTCCACTTTTGAGTGTTATTGGACTTTACATTCCATTCCAAAAAACTTTGACTTTACATTTCATTTCACTTAAAAATGTTTTGAATTTGCACCTCATACAGAATTTTTTCGTCATACTCCGTAAAATATTATATGATGGAGTGCAAAGTCAAAGTTTGTAAAAATAGTGTGCAAAGTTCAAAGTCAAATTATTAACTTACAAGTGGATAAATCAAATCTAGATTGTACGGAATATAATTTATTAGTGACATCTTTAATTTGACAAACCGGATATGTGAAATGGAATATATATGTACTGTAGTTAATCGTATTTGGTAGTGAATGTTTGTAAATTCTGAATTGACTATAATATTATAAACCAGGCAAATCACCAAGTCATCAGGGGAAATTATCATCGTATGCCTGGATTTTCCTGGTACGATGGAGAAAATAGTCGGAAATTAGTTTTCATTGCACCTTTGAATGGTGTGCAAAGTAAAAAGTTAGAGTAAAAATTGATATGCAAAGACCAGAACGATCACTGGATACGGAACGTAAATTATTATATTCGTATTTGACTATATATCCTGTTGGAGTCAAAAGTAAAAATAAAAAGATACGGTATAAACTATAAAGTCAAATAAATAGTGGGATAAAACGAGAAGCAAATACTATATTTGAGTAAACGGGACTCAATTCCCATATAAAAATAGGTGACAACTCCGGTACCCATTTAAAAAATGGGGTATCGTACCTATCATTCACTTGATTGGTCCAAATGATTATATCATTTTTAATTTAGATATAAATAATTCATCTGCAACATTCCGATTGGTCCATGTGGACGAAAGTATGGTACCTTATGATGAGTACCATAGAATCTACCATAAAAATATGGTAAGTAAATGGGGAATTTAATAAATTAGGAGCCTTAAATTAGCTTATCATACTCAATATGCGTATCTTTCACTCATAATACGGAATTCGTATTTATTTATAATAGAAATGAAGGAAATCAGATGAACAACCGTAGTTTAAGAGTAGCGAAATTATGTTTTAAATTAAACAAATAGGGCACAATTATATACTGAGTATAAGTCTATTTATATACTACCTCCGTTCCCATTTTAACTTCCAAATGTTTTTGGCACAAAGTTTAAGATAGTGGATATTGTGTGGTGGAGAGTTGTGCAGAGGAGAGAGAAATGTGTAACAAATGTTGTGAACCTCAAATTCTTTACCAAAAAGGGAAAGTGGAAGTTTTAATTGGAATGGACGAAAAAGGAAAGTTGAAAGTTTATTTAGGAACGGAGGGAGTATAAGAAAAGAAATAGCTCCTCAAAAGATCGTTACATCCTTCATTAATCTTACGTGACACTCTGTTCATAATTTTTTCCTCTCATTTCCTACTGCCACGTGGCTGCTTTTCTCTCTCAAGGTTTAGAGGTTTTTTTTAACCGAAGCAAAACCCCCATTTTTGTAGGAGATGTATTTAGTGGGCCCAAACTATAAAAAACCCCAATTTTATTTAAAGTGTTATAACTTTTTCATTTTTGCTCCATTTTTTTAAAAATATATATCAAAATTCAAAATTTTTTTATCTTCATTCGAGATCAATATGTATTTATATATAAGAAAAGAAATAGCTCCTCAAAAGATCGTTACACCCTTCATTAATCTTACGTGGCACTCTGTCCATAATTTTCTCCTCTCATTTCCTACTGCCACGTGGCTGCTTCTTTCTCTCAAAGGTTTAGAGTTTTTTTTTTTGTAACGGAAGCAAAACCCCAATTTTTGTAGGAGATGTATTTGGTGGGCCCAAACTATAAAAAACCCCAATTTTGATTAAAGTGTTATAACTTTTTCATTTTCGCTCCATTTTTTATAAAAAATATATCAAAATTCATAATTTTTTTTATCTTCATTTGAGATCAATATTGAATATATAAAAACATAATTTTTAACGGTCTTTATAATTATGTATAAAATAAAATTATACTCCATCCGTCCCAATTTGATGGTCATGCTGCGGTTTATGAGGTTTGACCGATGATAAATCAAATGAATTTCTGTCCGCACTCAAATTATTTGTAGCAAATAAAATTTACATATTCAGAAACCACATTAAAAGTTTTACAAACTTGCAAAAACCTGAATCAAATTTCATAAAATTTTTATATAAAAAGTAAATGGTTAAAAATGATTTGTGTTGACCAAGAGAATATGAACATAAACTAGGATCATCAATTTGGGACGGAGGTAGTATATATCTATATATAAGAAAGTAGTACGCTATTAAAACTACAATTTTATCCTCAATTATTATGTAACATGTCTACCTACACGTGATAGAGAACATTGCTCTACTTATGTCACGTGGCTTAATCTTTTGCATTTTTGTTATTTGCTTTACAAAAAATGATTTATGGAGATAGAAAATATAAAAATTCGGCCTACTAATATACCTCATTTATCTTAACGAAACTCCAGCCTTTAATATACTCTTACTTCTAATAAAAAATATAACATTATACTCCCATAATTAAAGTGTTGTAAACCTTATTCCTTCCTTATTATAAAGTCATCCGAAATTCAAAAATTAGCAAAAGAAAATGATAACCACATTTTTCATGCTTATATGCTCATTTTTCATTTAAAATTATGTGTTGCTCTGTGACCCTATTTTTGAATTTATCAATCTTATCAGTCAATTTTGATATCGAGAGCTTAATTGTGTAATCATCAAAATAAGAAAGGTTGAAGTTAATTTTTTCCTGAAGTGAATGAAGTTATTATAAACGAAAATTTTAGCTACTTTTTTGACAAATGTTTATTTACTTTATCAATAAAATATGTTTAAATTTAAATTTCCCATAATTCAGTATATTCCGCCTGTTCAGCGCTTTCAGCAAGAATTTCATCAATTTCAATAGATTCATCCTTTTTATGTGTTACCAAACAAACTCTAAATGGCATTCTAAACGAAAAAGATGTTCAACATATGATAGTATTGTCAATGTAAAATAGATCAATAATTTCAAAATGTAACGTGGTGTGATGAAGTTGCTCAAATGAGAGTCATACGAGATATTAGCAGTGAGAAATATAAAGTCATACAATTGCCGGGGCCCAAGATATAAGAACCCTAATTTCTTCATCATAGCGTTATAACTTTTTTAATTTTTGTTGTAATTTCTACAAAACATATATCAAAATTCCTTAACTTTTTATGATTTTTCATATGAGAACAATATTGCATATAGAAAATTTAAAAAAATCTGAAAGTGTATTAAGTAACCTGTTATTTTTCCAACCTCGATACGGGCTATTCCTTATTAATTAAAGAAATAATTCTCATTATATGACTAAAATAATGATATTGACTAAAGTATGAATTATTTTTAGATTCTATAGTTATGTTTAA